TCCCAATATATGCAAGAATTATACGAGGGTCAGTCAAAAATACGTAGACAATTTCCTAATCAACCTGTGCAAATAGTTTGAATTAGATCGTCCGCTTTTTCAAATTCTTTACCGCGTAACTCTATAAGTTCCGCGATAGTGACTCTTTTGACAAGATTTTTAACTATAACTAATTTTTTGCACACTCTCTATCGTCCGATTCATACTTGCTACCACTTACACAGGATGAAAAGCCAGGTTTCCCAAATTTGGAAACCCGATGGAAACATATGGGAATCGTGACATCAGTAGTTTCCATATAGTTTCCATTTTATGGAAACCACATAGTGGTTTCCACATAGATTCCCAACATGGAAACAATCAACCGGTGGTTTCCCGTAAGTTTCCCAAGATAGGAAACCGTGGAAACATGCCCCAGTGGTTTCCATGCAGATTCCCGACATGGAAACAATCAACCTGTGGTTTCCTGTAAGTTTCCCAAGATAGGAAACCCTGGAAACATGCCTCAGTGGTTTCCATATAGTTTCCCGACATGGAAGCCATCAGTCTGTAGTTTCTCCCATGTTTCCCAGGTAGGGAAAGTTTGAAATTATATCTCATACTAATTTCCAACGACATGTATTTTCTATTTTGCAAAAAGTTAAATATTTTCTGAAGATACCACATTTTTTCCTGATTATAGATTTTTTTTCAAACGAGTACACATACTGTATCAAAAGAATTAAATCGGTCTCTTTAAACAGTTAAAATAACTTAAAGTGTATTTCTATGTGATAAAATTTGATATTTCCTGACTGTGAACGCAAATTAATTTTAAATTGGATTTATCACATTAGTCGTGGTGAACTCGTGTAGAATGCGTGAATTTGGAATAAAGAAAAGTGCAGTTACATAGAAATCAATCCTAAAGAGAGAAGTTGCGATTACTGATTAAAAGACAAAATATAGAAGAGTAGGACTTAGACTAAGTATAGTTACATAGAAATAAATAAAAACTGGTCAGAAAAAAATCATTCATCGAGTGAAGTGGGGGACTGAGTATTATAATGCTAGTAATTTGTTTAATTTGTAAATATTGTTTAAGATATTTGTTTGTTAGTTTTCTTATTTATTTATTTATTTTATTTTTTGTCATCCCCCCTCCCCCAAAAAGCATAGGTACGGCCTGTGTAACTACGGGCAACTGTCCTCACGTGCCACATCAGGTGGAGACACGTGCCGCGAAGACACCTGGGGACAGGAGACTCCTGTCACTGTGTATTTTTTGTATATTCTATGTCACCCCTACTAATGTTATTGTGATTTAAATTCAAGACACGTGGTTTAGATTGATCTATTCAAAGGTTATAGGGTAGAACCGGTTTTATAAATAAAATTGGCAGTAAACATGATATTGCTATAGCCTGTTTCTTTTGAAAACGTGTCCTGTAATAAATGTTTCCAGACCTTTCTGAAAGACTTTCATGATTTTCAACAGAAAGGGGTGGCTAAAGGAAGGGGTGTTAAAATAACAACATATCTTATACTTTTCGGCGAAAATTAAAGCTCACTAGTGACCGATTCGCTGGTAAAAAATGTGCATAGTCATCTACACTGACAAACCTTTGCCTTATATGGCTATTGTTACAAATGCGCACAGAGGATCTTACCACGAGCAACTGACCATGCAATCGTTGAATGAATAGCAACGTTTACGCTAAATACATGTTTACATTTTACTTCGAACGCGTAGTTCAGGTCAATCTACGATCACGTTAAAAAAAGTTCTTACGAACAAAATACAAAATTAAGAAACTTTGAAAGATGTTGCGGGTGTTTTTAATTTGTTAAATGGAGAAAAATGTTTAATAAAATGTAGTTTGCGTCTAGTTCAGAACACCAGCGCTTCAAGGGTAAGGAAAACGAGCAGCATCTCTTATGCATTTAAATGGACAAGATTTTGTTTACGTTCGTGATCACGTGTTCGGCCAGGGAATTCACCTGGCAATTGTATTCACCGATAGTACAACAAAGGAATTAATACAGACGAAATCATTTTTGCAGTATGACTTTCAGTAACCTAGACTTCCCCTGTTTATGAAATACATGAATTGTTTGTCATTACGAGCATGAAAATAATACTTCTAAAATTGCTTTTCATTTACCATAAGACTTTCCTCTTTTTTGTTCAAGCGTAAAATTGCTGTAGTATTCGTAGTAACCCATAATGCAATACTCATTCAGCTGATTGGTCAGTTAAAATCATGCTGGTGCCTCATTTGCTAATCTGACGCCAAAAAATATAGTCCCTGTTCCCATGCAAAAATATTTGTCCAAAAAGAAATTTTAATTCATAATAGCAGAAAATTGTATCATAGAGAATACTTATTTAAGTTTGAATGAATGTTAAAGAGATCGATTGATTGAAGTACATTTCTACAGACATTATCAGCTTATTCTAGGGTGGTGAAAACTGAAACGCACCATATCTTTTCTGTTTACCATGTCTCCACGTGCTAGTCACTTCCTAGCCACATTTCCGTGAATAATTTACCCTATCTCGCTGAAGTCTCGCTAACTCTCGCCAGAGCCACTGTCAGAGCTACTCTGAACTCATCGGGTTTTATAATTTGCAGAACACCGAAAAATAAAAGGTTCCGAACACATTAGTAGGGGTGTATGTGATTTGAGAGGGTTTTCTTCTACAGGAAACAATGGGCTGGTGTCAATCATGTACACACACAGTCTCTGCAGACGCGTCTAAAATTAAGATGATGATTTGTGTTTTTTATAATCATTAAAAATTATTGTATAGTAATCGTAAGTTATACAAGAGAACATAATTTAGTCCTAAAATAACCTACATTTATTTTAAGAAGTTCAATGAAAGAACAAACTATTTAGAATTTCGATTTCAATGTTTATTACTGATTTGAAATAAAACCTTCATGTTAGAAAATTAAATAATTTTCTATAGGTTTAGAATAAATATAAATCGTGTATAATTATATTAAATCATAATAACTTTATAGATCAATGACATTATTACGGTATTTAATAGTCTTGATGTTTTGTGTTAAATTTGTAATCCAACTACAAAGACGTCTGTAAATTAATGTTTAAAATATTCATATAAAAAAACGTTTTTTTTTTGTTTTTTTTTTTTTTACCTCTTTTGCATTTAAATTTGTTCGCAGATCACTGCATGTAACTACAAAGGTCCTAAATGCACATGTATATTCAACAAAGCCATGCATCCCCCCCCCCCAAAGGCCATTGCTCTGCATGTAACTAAAGAAGAATCTATAAAATTATACATTATTTTGTTTTCCTCAAGAACAACGGCTTTTGATGTATAGTGCATGCTAAGGCAATCTATTAAAAGAATTAATGTGTAATTGTATTACTGTACATTTTTTGTTGATGACATTATATAAAGAAGTGAAGGTTTTCGATACAACTATAGATTTCTTTATCTACGTTGTCCCTTACTTTATTTCTATTCTACATGCTGTAAATTACTCTTTTAAAGAAATAATTATTCGTGTTCTTAAATTTGACGAGACTCAAATACAGGCCAGTAGGAAAGTAATTTCCGTTTGCGTAATAAACTTACCGGGAATTTTTTTTACAAGAATACCTTACCAAATTTCCTTATTACGAAAAAAAAGTATATAAGAGATACAGGGCGGGACCAGCTAAAGCTGCGTGCATAAACTCACAACCATAGTCCATTCACATTAACGAGTATCTATAGACAGTAGATGACTTTTGACACAATCTTTCCAATGACATCAATTATACCCGTCACGACTAAAATACTGAATTAATATATATAGTTGTACTGTTAATTTTTCCTGCCTTTGATTAGATATTAGTTTTGTTCCACCTTGTGATAACTCTCCTTAAAAAAAGCTTTTTGACATTCTAATACATTAAACAATATCACATGTTAAAATGATGTGGGAAATTTATTTATTTATTTAAAGGCCAATATTTTTCAAGTACGATATAGCAAATAGAAAAATGTACAGTAATCACCTCCACCAGTAATAATATATTATATTGATAGCAGGCTCAAAATCTAAACCAAAAAAAAGGAGGGAGTTCATTGAGTTATTTTAATCAAAACAAATTAAAAAAAAAAAAAAATCAGATCTGATGGTATTCTATCTTAATTTTCACAAGTGTATCCTATACTACCATACCTCACTAAGGCTGATTCTTTCTACTAAAAGCGTTTTTAATTATTAATAGCAATTAATTTTTAAACATGTTTAACACCGAACTTTTCAATCATCACTATTAAAAATAGAAAAAAAATACTGTTCTTCAATATTGTAGCTCCTTTTCATGCCTTTTAGGATTCAAGTGGAAAGTTCACAATTTCAAAAATGTACCCGGCTTTAAAGGTTTAACGTCGTTTTGATGTGACATTATACATTCATAATCATGATAATTACAACCGTTAAAAGTGGGGGGGGGGCATATACTTTCAGCTAAGACGACCACTGCCATGCAATAACCAAGCCCCGAAACTCCCATCCCAAAAGCATATAATTTGAGGTGTTAAAAATCTTTTTTTTCTCTCAGTGACACACGCATTATTATTTTTTAAAAACACTTTCAATCTAAATATACTAGGCCTACACATCGTATCGGCAAAAATATTTAGGAGCCCCCCTTTTATTCTATGAACAGGGAAAAACTCCATTAAATTTTAATATAAGATTTCATAATCATACTTAATCATAATGAACCATGTGAACGTACTAACAGTTTTTGTTTCCCATCCTGCATCGCTCTGCAGGCGCTTTATTTCATTGGTCAATTTCCTGAGGCGCCATTTTTGGAGGATCGAGAAGGACGAAGAAGAAGGTGTAAGCAGCTGGTAAATGTGAAAAGTTAATGATGTTTTCACCACCCAATGTCTTTGAGACTGTGATAAATGCAATGAACAACAACCAAGGATTAGTGTACGTATATTTTTGTTAATTTTTTACGGTAAATAATTGAAATATTTGGCAACAACAAATCTTCACTATCGGAGACAACTTTTGTTCTGACGCCATTTTGAAAAGTTGAATATCTAAAATTCTTAATCTTTAGTACATATATTGCAAGAAATAAAAGGGAAATTTAAGTGATATAACATACTTATTTACTTCCATGCAATAGATAGACAATGTAGGCCCCAAATCATCGTACATGTGTTCCATGCTGTATGTTGTACAATGGCGACTTTTCGCCTTTTAATAGAATGAATACTGAATATAATAGTTCTCTCTCTGTGTATAAATGAGTTCTTTCAAAGTGGAATTTCTTTTTTTATTTTTATCCCCTCTATTTATTCGGATGATAATATCTATACCGAGCACGGTTTCGTAGTTAAATACATACTAAAGTACATCCGGTTTGAATTCATGTGTTCTCGGATTACGGGATAGCCAACTGTTTTGATTTTTTGGAACTTATGACAAGGTATAACCGTAGAAATGAGATATTTTTGTTTCAAAACTTATTTCACAACAAGTGTCTTCAATCGCAACTATCCGATTATTCATGAAGGATATCATCAGAACAGTTGAAATAGATTGTAGCTTAGCATAACCCTTAATCATATGCATGAGGATGATATGGGGGAAAACATACATTAAAAAAGTGGATATAGGCGAAAGCCTTTCCACTTCGCTGAAGATAATAGGTTTGTATATTGAAATAGTTTACTGACAAAAGAAAAATTTTCTAATGTCTGACCTGCTGAGATGAAGATGTCAAAAAAGAAAAGCCTACATAGTGAATTAATGTTGATAGTATATCAAGTAATGCAAATGAATCATCAGCTTGAATTATCAGTTATTTCACAATTATTGACCGGTGTAGGCCAACATGAAGTTATAAGGACCTATGTCAAGTGATATTGACCCACGGCATAGAAAGAAAACAGGAACCAAGCATGAGAGGTCATGTCAATATCACTTGACATGGGTCCCTATATAAACCAAATTTTGACTAATACAATGATGGTGCGACTGTTATGGCGAGCGCAGATATATATTTTGTTATAATTTAGATCATCAAACTGCACGTGACATTTGGTGCGTCTAGACTCTGTATGTAACATTTCAAAAAAGAAGCCTGAGCAGTGCTGAAAGTAAATGAAGAACATTTTCTTTATTATTTATCTTCAATGTTTATCCATTAAATCAGGGCATGTTTACTTTTAGTTGAACTTCTGCTGCTATTCTCGCGAGCACGTAGCTTTAAGAAGTGATGCATTGTGGATCCAAATTACTGCATCATAAAATATTATCGAATGAATGTGCAGTAGTCCAAATTTTCTCTTCGCACAGGCATTGCTTTAAGAGCTCGCAGTAACTATCGTCGATTGACTGTGACCTATATGCAAAAAATAGCTTTTTTGAATTTTGTTGCGCTGGACGCAATAATCATGCATAGTGTTGGACAAATGCATCTTGTTTACATCTGAAAAAGGTGATTTATAAGATTCCTACTTTATTTTTTAACTTGTGTCTTTTCCATTCAATACATTTGATAAAGAATGTTGATCAAACGTTCAGGTTATAATAATAATTCCAACTATCCTGGGAGTATTTTGGTGATTTCATGAGTTTTAATTTCAGCAGGTATAACTTCACAGTCAGGGTGTATACAGTGTATCTTCTATGTGACACAAAGGTGATACATATGCCTTATCTGTTTAAATCTGCAGTATTTGGGATATATTTTGCTGGATTACAGCTGAAAAGCAAATAGGTTTTTCATAAAAGAAGCATCAGTTTAGGAAACAACTGACCCTACTAAGGGGTTTTGACACAGAATGATCAAATATCATGATGATAAGGCTTTTGGTTTTTTTAATATCATTTAATAGTTTGTAAATATATTTTTGATTAACAAAAAAATTCAAAATTAACAAATTGAAAATTTGATAAACAATTCATGTTTTAAGAAGAGGTACATTGGCCACTCTTGTTGCCTAGAGGAGATGCATCCAATTTCAATATTGCATGTTGAGCTATACCTGGTGATTTATCAGTTTTAAGTGAATTTGTTTAAGACAGAAACCTATAAAATAAGCATTTCAGACCAAAACGGGGCTTCAGCTGGATGTACAGCATGTTGTGACAGTGACAACATAGAGAGTCCCCTAAGATTGTGGTGTGTTTTGTTTCTTTTTTTGTGTTCAGTTTGTTATATTTGAGTTTTTATATATTTTAGAGGCATTCATCAATGTCATTACTAATGACAAACAGGAGAAACGGAGACAGGAGATGGAAAGACTGATCTTCACAGACAGCAGTCAAAACAAAGCAAAAGAAAGCATTCAGTAAGTCTAATTTACTAATCCTATATGAAAAAGTGATCTTTTGGGATTTATATTTAAATTAATTTGCCTATATTTCAAAGATATTTGTTTGGGGGGTATACAGGAATCACCTTGTCTGTCTGTCCATCTGTCCGTCTGTCTGTGCAATCTTGTCCGGTCTATATCTTTCTTACAGAGGGACATTAGAATCTACTACTCCACACTAAGATTGCTCATGACCAAAGGGTGTATCATGACCTTGACCCAAGGTCATTTGGAGAAGTTCAAGGTCACTGGAAGATAAATTTCATAATTCGTGTCGGGTCCATATCTTTCTTATAGTTAAACTTGGTAGGTTCTCAATTCTCACAAAGATTGCCCATGACCCAAGGGTGTGTCATGACCTTGAATCAAGGTCATTTGGAGAAGTTCAAGGTCACTGGAAGAAAAATTTCATAATTCGTGTCCGGTCCATATCTTTCTTATGGTTAAACTTGGTAGGTTCTCATTTCATACAAAGATTGCCCATGACCGAAGGGTGTATCATGAACTTGACCCAAGGTCATTTGGGGAAGTTCAAGGTCATTGGAAGAAAAATTTCATAATTCGTGTCCCGTCCATATCTTTCTAGTGGATAAACTTGGTAGGTTCTCATTTCACTCAAAGATTGTCCATAACCCAAGGGTGTGTCATGACCTTGACCCAAGGTCATTTGGGGAAGTTCAAGGTCACTGGAAGAGAAATTTCATAATTTGTGTTTGATACATATCTTTATTATGGAATAACTTCTGAAAAACCCAGCGGGGGGTATTTTGTCACGTTTGGACAGTTCTAGTTTACAGTCTTCTTTCATCATGTATAGCAGGGTTGTAGAGGAATTAAATATTCTTTGAAATTTATGATATTTTGTGTCAATGGGAATTTCTACAAAACTAAGGTCACATAGTTTGTTATTATTGATACTTGTACAGATATGTTTTTAAAAAGTCTGTATGATTAACTATGCGCTTTTTCCCTCAGAAACTGGAAATAAGATAGAAAGCCGTGGAACATCTAGACAAGTCATGGACCCCAACATCTAAAAAGAACTTGACGGAGTGCATTCGGTTGGACATAACTTCATCCGAGAAGACTGATGACAAAGACTCAACAAAGAGGGTCAGGCTCCTATTTTCCTGGGAATCAACCAGACCGTGTAAGGGAAAAGAGGCACTGGACAAGGCATATAGACACAAGGTCCTGAAGACCGAATCTGCCAGACGCCAGTTGGTATTTGTAAGGGATGGTAGAGAGGACACAACAACACCTCCTCCTGAGAAGTGTTCAGCATGGGACTTCTCCTCATAGAGGTAATTAATTTTCTCAGATACTTATTTATTTTTACCTTTCTTAGTATTGTGTAAATTTTTATAAATTCATTTAACTTCCCTTTTCAAGTGAACAAAAAGATCAATACCATTTGAAAAAAAATATTAAGGATGTGTTATTTTTTGCTTGCAAATACTAAAGTCTGATTATATTGAAGCATTTTCTATGGCCTTCTTTTGATAAGTTTTATGATAGTGTATCGTCTCCTTGTCTAACCAATTGTGTACTATCATTATAAGAAAAGCTGCAACATCAAACAAAAGTAGGGTAAAATAGACAATGTGACCTCTTTTTGGAAATTATGCCTGTACATCCTTAAATAATTTGTGGATCACATCTTATCTTTGAATCTGATAGAATCTGTTTTTGGAAATTTAACTTATCATAAGTTTTTATAATAACTCACATCCTTATGACCAGAAAACTTGTTTTTTTTATGGAGATAAGAATTACTGTACAATCATTTTAATTCATGGGGGGTCAATGTTTGTGGATTAGTAAAATATTACTTCAGCTAAATTTTAACTATTTTTTTATTCCTTGTAGGTCAAACAAGGTTTCAGCTATCAAGAGGATACAAGAAAAAGAACTATTTAATTCTGTGGTTGTGTATTTCCAGATGTAAATATTGATAGTTGTTTTGGTTTTTTTTATAATGTACATGTAATCATGTAATGTGGATGGGGCGACTGCTTTCACATTTCACAGATGTATTCCAAGATTTACATACAGATGCAATGTTGATGTTTTGACATATCTGTAAAAATTGTGATGCTTTTTCATAAATTTATTTTTTTTATAATACTGCAGTAACTTAATTGAGTCCCTGAATGTCAATAGTCACTAATTTGGTTTTCAGTATAAAATTTTTTTTATAATAGTAACTAAAAGCAATCCATGATTTTTTTTTTATGTTGAACATATACAATGTTGATGCTTTGACATATCTTTAAATTTTTTTTATACTTTTTCATAGATTTATTTTGTTAACATAATACTTAAATAACTGAATTGAGTAACTTAATTGAGTAACTTTAATTGCAGCCCGGAGGACCGGGCTGCTCTATACATATAAGTTTAAGTGTTGGTGTATGGGGATTGGGGTGGGAGTAGTTATGTAGAATTAAAGGTTTTCTAAACATTGAAAAGATTGTTAATCAGAATGTTCTTTCCGTTTATAAATTACGAGATACATAATATATTTACTTCCATAAAGTGAATCTGTAAAAATATATATGTTTTTCATATTTAATATATAAAGTTACTTATCATTTTCTATCGAAACAACGACAGGTCCCTTTTTTTAGAACATCGAATTTTACTTCTCGGATAAAAACGTACTCTGCACAATTCGTGTTTTATATTCTAAAATTGAAAATTAATACATTTTTAAATGTAAATGATGCGTGTGTCTAACTTCAATTTATATTTTTTGCAGCCAGCATTTACTTGAGGAATTGATCAAGTTTAAAATGGTATCGTTTTTAATTGATTTGTATCCGACTACAAGTTTTTTAAAATATATGCGATCATCGTCTCTATCAATAAGACGCAAGACTAATTTTCATTGTTTACTTTATATATTTCCCGGGCGAAATTTGATGGTTACATCAATGTTTTCTTGTTTTTCTTTGTTGTGAATTTGAATAGATAGTACATGTATTATTAATATAATTTCTGAGAATACAAATGTCATCTTATTTGAAATTTGTTTTGCTGTTTACTATATCCTCAAGGTTCACTCATCAATATTCAATAACAAATGTACCCCACCTGAGAAACTTGAAAATTCTCATAAGCTAATTCCAGTATGAGAATTTTAAAGAAAATTCAACAAGAAAAAAAAATAATTATTCCAATAAATCCATTTAGATTCCATCAAGGAAAACCCCAAATTCCTGATAAGTTTCCATGATACGGAAACTACTACCTTTCAATTCCCCCAGGTTTCCAACCTATGGAAACAAGGTTTACTATATGAATCCAAGCAGTTTCCTATTCATGGAATCTTTAAGATTCCCGACTAGTTTCCCATCCATGGAAACTACTACGCTCCGATTCCATAAGGTATCTCGAGTCATGGAAGCCAGTGGAATCTTCAGGTTTCCTTATGGTATCCAAGTGGCTTCCAAAACATGGAATCCTTGAGATTCCCGACTAGTTTCCCATCCACGGAAACACCCTATGCTCCGATTCCATTAGGTATCCCGAGACACGGAAACCAGTGGAATTTTTAAGATTCCCGTACGGGAAACTTACGGAATCAAGGGAAACCTCGCGATTCCACTGGATTCCAAGCCTCGGGAAACCTAATAGAATCGGAGCGTAGGGTGTTTCCGTTGCACGGAATCAAGGGGGAATAACCCAGTATCCCGCACGGAAACCACAAGGAAACATAATATAATCTTGAGGTTTCCATATGGTTTCCATAAGGTTTCCCACAATGGGAAACTGGTTTTTTCACCCAGTGTTAAAAGTTGAACTTTCCATTTTATACAAATACAAGGCTTATTTTTCATACATTTCCTTGTATATACAGAATTTTAAAGATTGTTTTAAAAAAGTTTTATTGGTACTCGCTGCTCCGTGGCGTCCTCCAACATAATGATTTTCCCCCTTTTTTTATCAAATCATATGTATTTAGAAACTGATTTATTTTGAACGGAGCGATATATTACACTACCTGATAGCATTTTATGTAATACAGCAAAACTTAATTTTAACATATATATTTCTTTACATTTACCTGATAGCATTTTAAGTAATACAGCAAAACTTATTTTTCACATATTTTTTTTTAAATTTTAGCTTCATTTATTACAGATGTGGCTATATATACGTGCATGTGGGTTCGTTTTTATAAATATGAAGATGTCTTCCATTTTTACTCAGATAATTTAATGAATGAATTTAATACCTAACCATTTTATACGGTATAAACTGGGTTGGGACAGTTTACGCTTTATAAACCGCAAATGGGTAGCTATTAAACTCATTGTTTATTATTTAATTTTCATTCATTTGATATAAGAAAAAAAAGATAACTGTTGACAAAATGCCTCAATTTGAACGTAACGTCATGCGGATTGATGCATTGTTGACGAAAGTCATTGTGACGTAGACAGCCCATTTTAAACGATATAAAGTAAGTTTTTTATCCAAGTAAATACAGCTTAATATCCAGAATTAAATTATTAGAATTTGTTGTTAAAATATTTGTACCAAATTTGTATATAATATGACGTTCAGTAAAAAGTTACGACAAAACTCTACGAACTCTTTGAAAAACACTCTTACATAAATTAATGCAGTCAACTTTTACAGAAATCTGTACTTAGTCGATGTTGCAAAATGGTTTGTATTCGCCAGGTTTTCCGGGGATTCGCTGAATAGCCACAACATCAGTATCTTGAATTTTAATCCCTACTTCCGCCAACGCATTATTATCAATTTTCAAGGGATTTTATCCCTGGTGTTTCAAGGAGTCCGTGAATTTAATATTATGTATCTGCAAATATTCCTCGTTTTGGTTAGCCTTTCACAGGGCAGCCTTAGCCACATTTCATTCTCCTCAATTCAAGTCGATTGTGCAAATCTTTTAACTCTCCATTGCTCTTGTTAAGATCACGTTTTAACTCTTTTGCTTGCTTCAAGGTTTTCTTTACTCTCTTTCAACTGTCGATTTAAATGTTTTAAGATCTAAATTTTATCATTCAAATTTTACAATCTTACCTTGATGTTTTTGAAGCACATCCTCGACTACATTTTTATGAGCTCCTTTACATCGTCAGCTTTCAAAGTTTTATTTCAATCACTCTCTTTTACTTTTAATTGAACTTGAATCAGTGTCCACTCACGCTCACCTTCTGTTGTTGGTGTTTTCAATACTGGACTCGGTTTTGAGCTAGATTTATTTGGTTTTTTGCCTCCTGTGCTTATATTTCGTGTGAGGACACCTGCCTGACTAGTAAACATTGTCTATTTTTATTAACACCTCTCACTTATCACGGCAGATCTACAAATTCAGAAGTCGAAAACCCTTCTGAACAAGCATGCAAATGAAATTTGTACGTTTGCAATAGTCCAGAAGTGACAAATGAAGTCTTCAAAATTTATTAGGGGCCATCTTTACTTAACACTGGCCGAAAACTCCACACTCTACATTACACGGCTTAAAGCGTCATTTCAGAATTTCTCAGCTAAGGTTAAGGTAGTCCGAACCTCAGGTTTATAAAATTAGCAGTTAAGTAATCAAAAGTACTTATAAAAATATCTCTGAATACAAATATTTATGTAAATTTGTCCACAGTATTTCTTAAAAGTTAAAGTTTAAAGTTAATAATATTGTATAGGGAAAATTTCCAAATCTCCAATATTTTTGCAGAAAAAGCGAACTGGAATATCTGCAATGCATTTTCTAATTGCAAATTGATCAACAAAACGTATAAGTGGATATTTTAGCGAGACGCAAATTTAGCGATTTCTCCTTAAAAACTAGTATTTTATATTTAGGGAGAAGTAATTTTAGCGATTTTAAAATGCTCACCAAAGAAGCTTGTACAAAAAGGACGCAATTAATTTTTAGCGATATTAAATTTAAGTGATTTCAACAGCCTCGCTAATGATGCAAAAATTAAATCTTCGCTAAAATTTCTACTTATACGGTATTTTAGGTTTAAAAACTATAGGTATTCAGCCATTCAGAGAAAATGTCATGATTTTTACCATTATTTGGTACATTTTGTCTTTTATTTCCGTCATATATTCTACAGTACATAGTGTAAAAGGCTTTTGCTATCACTATAAGACACCAAAAATCACTTTGTATTTCATATCATGCTTATAAGCATTGATATCTAAGCCCGGATTCAAGAAAATCTTATTTCTCTAAAACTGTATTATTTTTTTTTTCTTTTATAGGGTTCAAATATCAACTTTTTAAAGACCTTGTCTAAGATTTTAAAAGACATTTAAGTTTATAAAGATGCATAAAATGAATTGTTGCATGAACAAATTTCATTTTCAAGTTTCAGTTTGATGCATATCAAATTAAATGTTGAACTTTGGAGTTATCCTTTCTGGCTGAGGATCGGATATCCTTAATTATTGACAAATTGTTCATGAAACAAGAATATCAGCAGTCTCGTTTGAAGTCATGATTTCGTAAGTTCTCAGTCGATACAACGACCTTGTCAAGAAATTTATCATTGAGTAGATTTCTCACTAACATTTTTCATACTAATGTTTAGGCTAATCTTTCCATACTGAAATGTCGCTTGATTTTTCCGTTATTTCAAAATGAAGACAAGGAGCACACGGCGGGTGTAAGCGGTCAGCAGGAGATGTTCACTCCTGCAAGGCACCTGATCCCACCTCAGATGATTCGGAGGTCCGTGTTTGCTCTGCTATTTTGTATTGCTTAATGAACTTTGAGATTAATTTCTGTTCGGTCTCCATATATTTCATTATTTTCAACAATTTCGCATTATTGTTCAAGCAGGGCTGATCGTTTGGTATTCCCTCACGGGGCTAAAATGTTTTGTTAAATATGGTGGCATATTTCTGCCCCTTGTGTGCAAGTTATTTTTCTATCAAATATGTCGACATGCAAGATAAATATGTTGACATGCAAGATAGTTATGTTGACATGCAATATAAATATGTTGACATGCAAGAAAATTGCAATCAAATAAAAATTATAAAAAAATCTTCAAAAATCTCAAATATCGCCCACATGTGACATCCAACATGCTAAATGCTACTTATTTATGTTAACATGCAACTTATTTATGTTAACATGCAAGATAAATATGTTGACATGCAACTTATTTATGTCGAC